GAAGATGGAATAGAATATCCCCTGGATCTACCAAACACACACACACACACACACACACACACACACAGGGAAAATGGTTAAACTGAAGGTAAACAAGACAGGTTTTTTTCATTATCAAAAAGAAATGCAGAAAGCAAAACTAGTAGAGCTATATTGTGGGTTTATAACATACTACATAAAATGCCTGACAACAATCACACTAAAGAGGGACAGGAAGAAATAGAAGCATATGAGTGTAAGGGTCTCATACCACGTGTGAGGCAACATAATACCTAAAGGGAGACTGTGGCCAATTAAAGTAGTATACTGCAAACCATCCTAGGACAATCACTAGAACAATGACCTATATCCATCTTTAATTCAATCTCTTTTGACAAAACGTTTTAAATCTATCTTTAAAAAGAATATAGATCAATGTCAAAAATCTGTGTTGAGTGTACTGATACAGGTTATGATACTGGATATTATAGTTTTGCAAAATCTTAACTTTGAGGCATCTCTTTATAGTGTTTCTTACAATGGCATGTGAATCTACAATTGTTTCCATTTTTTTAATTTAAAAAATGATGTATTAATCATTATGAACTCTGTCCATCAGCGTTCATAAGGACTTACACCACAGGACTCTGGAACTACATATTATAGTACCTAACAAATTCCAGATAAAAAGTAAAATTATTCCTGTTCCACAATCAACTATAATATACAGAGCAATCCTTTTAAATGTATTTGAACAAATAATAAATTCTAGCACAAAATTCAAAGAATATTCAGTAAAAAGTCCCCTTTCTCTGGACTCATTTCCCAGCCACCTACTTCCCATGTCAGAGGCAGCCATCAAAGCTAGTTTCTTCTGTATCTTTGCTTTTAAAAAAGTGTGCTTTTTAAAAAACCCAAATAGTGGACTCTACACATTTTCCTTTTTTCATTTAATGTGCAGCATTTTCAGTTGTTTCTTCAATAATATATAAGGAAAAGATAGAATTTACTCTAAATTCTTAGTCATTAAACCATAATGGACTCAGTGTTTTAAAAGTACAAGACTATAGAGTATTTAAGTGAAAAGTAAGACTCCAATCTGCTGTCCCTTTTTCTTTTCTGGGACAATACAACTGTTTGTAAAGCCAGGTGTGGTGGTGCACGCCTATAATCCCAGCACTTGGGAGGCTGAGGCAGGAAAATTGTTGCGAGTTCGAGGCCAACCTGGGCTACAAAGTGAGCTCAAGGTCAGCCTGAACTGCATAGTGAGACCCTGTCTGAAAAAGACCCAAAAAAAAGACAAAAACAAAACAACCTAATCATACAATTGCTTGTAATTTGAGAACTCTAAGAAATCTGACAGTAGAATAAAGAACTTTAAAATGAAACACTTTCAAAGTAAAAGAAACCAAACAGATCATTTCCAATTTTTATCAATCTTTCTTTTATAAATATTATTCAAAACACATAAACATAATTTTTAAAAAACTGTATCATCAGAAGAGTTAAAATGAGAAGGGGCACGCTGGGAATATAGCTCAGTGGCACAAGTGCCTGCCTGGCAAGCGCAAGGTCCTGAGTTCGATTCCCGGTACCAAACAAAAAAAAAAAAAAAAACAGCGGCATTCTCCTCTACCCCTACTTCTAACTACTTTCAGTATTTTTGAAAGCTGCTCCATAATTCTAAGAAGCAGATTTACAGTTTTGGATTCAAATTTATCAATTTTAGGACCTACTTATTGACTCCTCACTATATAAGGAAATTAGTGCCCCTCTATTTTCTTCCATGTTTACTTTCAAATTCTATTGATACTATCTCCTAATTACAATTAAAATTTATAGTTTGTTCTGCGATTAAGTCGTCAGACTAATTTTTAGAATGAATACCACATGCTTCTTGCCTACTATACATGTGCCTGAATGCAGGTTCACTGATACCATCTTTAGCTTCAGTGTGCCACAAATTTATTACTGCTATTTTAAAGAGATCCAGGGGACTTATATGTGGGTACTCAATCTGTTATCTTGAACTAAAACATGTCTATCTTCTAATTGACTGGAGAAAGTACAATCACTTGCGAAACTGCTATAAAGACAGTCTGCATCTTCATGTGAGTAAATACGATACTTGAGTTTATCAACATACACTCTATTTGATTACTCCAAGCACAAATACTAAACATTTTTCAATCACAAGGACTTTACCAGAAGCAAGAGGCAGCTCTCTGTTCCCTTATTCTAATACAGAACCATTTTCTCTTAAACCAAACAAGAGAAAATGTCTCCAATTGGTACATATGTCTGTAAGGTTTCAATGGGACCTGACCCTCCCAGTGCCCAACCTGCTTGCCAACAGAGGCGCTACTCTCAGCGAGGATCAAGGATCGCAGCTCAGCACCAAAGCACAGGATGTCCTAAAAAAGATAAGGCAGGACTAGGAATTTTGCAGGTCCTGGGATATCTGGAGACACCCAAAACCTTATGCCAGACCTTCAAACCACTAAGGTGCAAGACAGCCGAAGATTTGACCACAGATGTTTATTAAAATCTTCCCACCTAATGTCCCCTGCCCTCTCTCCATCCTATAAAAGGGGCATAATTCTCTTTGAAATGGTCTTTGCACTTTCTGTCTGCCTGCACCCAGGCACAATAAATTCCACACCACGTTACTGTTACACAAGGCTGAGGTCTCTGCTGGTCCCTCCCCCTTCCCCACTGTGTGTGTGTGTGTGTGCGTGTGTGTGTGTGTGTGTGTGTGTGTGTGTTACAATGTCTAAAACTTCTTTTCTCAAAATAGGTAAAACAGAGTGACAAATCAAGGAGTATGGTATGTCACAAACTTGCCTGTTCAGACCTTTCCCTCAGCTGTGAGGAGGGGACTCAAAGCCTACAGCTACTCACACACTCCTGGCTTCCAAATGGAACAGAGAGATACCACCAAAGAGTACAAATCCTGGTTGGCAGTGAACAAGTGCTCCCACACAGCCTATGCAAATGAAGACATTAACATATTAAATAATAATTACAATACTGTCAAGCTTTCCCTGACTAGCTTGACAGGGTGAAGGGAAAAACGAGCACACCTTCCTCCCAGCATTACCTCTCGCAGAATTATGAGTTGGAGAAAAATAACTTTTAGAAATCATTTGATCAACTCATTCCCTAAATGAAAGTTAATATTACTTGCTCAGCTTGGAGCAAATTAAGGAATTGCAGAACCTTCTTCAAAACACCTAGTCTCTTCTTTCCTGGATCTGAGTGACATCTATACCAGCTCAGGGTCACAGAATTCTGCTCTATTCTTTTAAGTCAATCATTTGAAAGAAAGCACATTAATAATGTAATACTAGCAAGCAGCTTGTCATGTGTCCTTTACACACATGACTGCACTAAATTCTCACAGCTCCTTATAAGTCCCAATTTTTATACAGTAAAAAACAGAGGTTTAAAAGGGCTAAACATCATGTCTAATCACTGCAGCCTACAACACCAGCATTAATAATGAATTACAAATAACTGTCAGGGTAAATTATTTTATCAAGAATTAGCAAGTTCAACAGAAAAATTTGCCCTAGCTACTAAAAAATTTATCCTGCCTACAAGAAACCAAACTACAGCAAATCTGCTTATCTAATGCAAAAGAACATAATAACTAAAAGCATAACTCCTTTCCAAAAGAAAGGAAAAGGTTTTCCATAACCCAAAGGTGAAAGCCATCTTCTAACATTAACAGCTTTATGATATTTACTGAGTTAGCTGGTCTCTTGCTATTGTACTAAACTGCCACGTTTCTGCTGTTCAGGAAGTAATTTATCTCATGAAACTGAAGCACTACAACACATCCTTTAAAGATATACTGGTCAGATGAAATGAAAATGGAGGCACTCTTTTTTCAACACCAGTATTAAAAGAGTGGTAATGGGAACAAAAATTATTTCCGAAGTTTTCTCATCAGACACAAACACCTAAGTAAAGGGAAACGGGCTACAGAGAGCTGAAGAGCAATGAAAAGGTGCCTCTGGAAGATTCCAGGATGGGTAAACAACAGCCCGTTTCCTTCCCATAGGAATCCAATACCAAGCTGCACATACCAGAAGACCCTCACTGAATTCTTAAACTTGTTAAAAATGTTCTCTACTCATAGTCTTGCACTTTTTTTTCCTCCAACTAAAATATAATTTTAGTTGTAACTAAAAACAGTAAATGTGAAGAGAAATTTCAAACCAAACTTAAAGCTGATAACTCTAGACTCAGTCTGCAGTTGCTACACCAATTCCAAATGGTACAGAAAGAATGCCTCCAACACGAGCAGTAACCATCACTTTAAAACAAGAATCCAAAAATGGCCCTCAACACTAGGAAGTCTGTCAAATCTGACAGTTCATAAAATGTACTTCGAGCCATTTACACTAACTGAAAAGAATCACACAAACAATAATACGAAAAACTTTGATACTGAAGCCAAAAGCCAGCACTATTTAATAACGTACTGACTGCGCTTTCGAAGAAAATTCATTTTTACTGTGTCGCTATGCATTAAATAAATCTGATCTCCCACAACCTCTACTTCCAGAGCTTATCAATGTGTGATAAGTGAAACTGTCACTCAGGCCAAGCCTCGTCTCCGAAGCCCGCCCAGAAAGGAGGCGAGATTACCCATCACAGTGATGGACACATCGATTGGGGGGAGGCCCGCTGCAAAGCAGCTCCGGCTCCGGCCCCTCCCCGAGGCGGGCAGCAGGACCCGCCTCAGTGGCACGCAGGACACCTGGAGGAGACGTCCGGAGCCGGGCTCTCGGCCAGCGAGCGAACCCCAGGAAGGGTGCGCGCGGCGGCGGCGGCCCCGGCCCCTCGCGACCCCCAGGGCAGGCTTGGTCGGGGTCGCCGGCTGGGCGAGGCCGACGCCCGAGACAGGGGGCCCCTCCCACGGGACCCGCCGCGGAGCCCGAGGAACGGGCCGGGAGCCGCGAGGCCGGGCGCCCAGGACACAGCCTCGCCCAGACTCGCGCCCGTCGCTTCACCTCGGCCGGCACTGGCGGGTCCTCCGCCGCCGCCTTCAGCTCCAGCACCGAGTCCGTCTGCCTGTCGGTCAGCGGCGCCGTCGTGTCAGGCCTCCGATCCCAGAGAGCCAGCTTCTCCCGCGCGTCCCGCTCGGCCGCCGCCTCGGGCAGCAGCAGCAGCGCCGCCTCCGCCATCGCCGCCGCTCCTGGGGGCCTCAGCAGCGGCGGGGTGCAGGGAACCCCAACCGAGAGGCTGGGGAACTTCCGGGAGCGCCGGGACTTCCAGCACTAAGCCAGTGGCGACGGTGCGAGGCGGGCCGGAGCGCCCTGACCCGGAAACACTTACACCGTGTGTGGGCGGGACCAAAGCTGGGATGACGTCGCTTTAAAAGGGTTACAAGTGTTTCCGGTCCGGCTGACGAGAAGAGGGGGAAGGAGACGCTCTCTGGCGGAAACGGGCATGCCTCTATCGGAAGTCTCATCCTCGACATTAATAACTTTATTGCTACGTTTGGTTCGCACTTTAGCACCTGCATCCAGTCACCTGGCCGGTGGGGCCTTCATGAGCTCCCTGACCTGCTGCCTGTCTGTTGCTGCCGGTAGTGTGGGTGCAGCTGGGATCGCCCTGGTGACAGTTGACACCGCTTAGCGCAAAACTAGGAGCACAAACTTTTCCGACATCCGTTAGTTTTCCCTGTTAGAAAACTAATTTATGGAGGAAGCCTGCGGTAGTGGCGCGTGCCTGTGATCCCAGGACTTGAGAGACCGAGGCAGGTGGATCGCCGTGAGTTGGAGGCCCGGCCTGAATTACGCAGCGAGACCATGTCTCAAAACACACACACAAACTAAATTATGGAAAGAAAAAATTCAGAGTATATATATCAAACATCATGAATGGTATCAAATAACTAGAAACAATTTAAAGTCAGAAAAAAAGACTGAAAAACTGTTACATATTGGAGCAGACTAGGAAGACATGACATCCCACTGCCTTTTGGGATACTGGACTGGATGGAGCCTGGGACCGTAAGAGGACAATCATGAACGTATATAATAATATTATCAATAAAACATAGAAATGCAAATAAGGTCCTTAGGTAATAGTATTGTACCAATGTTAATCTCCTAGTTTGATTATATGCGTGGTTAGGTAAGATGATAAATTTAGGAGAACTCCCCGCACAACCTTTGCAACTAAGCTCAAAGAATAAAAGATCTAGTAGAAGGTACTTACCTGAAGGAAATGGTTGCGATATAATCTTAAAAATGAAACCATATATAATCCTATTGACCAAACACTCCCAAAGCATTGATGAGTGGTTGGGGATACTGATACCTTTTACTTTTTCAATGTTTTACACTTAATAAGTTTTTTAATCATTAAATCCAGCTTCAGGGCACTATCTCTTCATCGCATCTTAAAGCGAGTCATCCTGTAGCTATGTATATACATGTGGCTCTATTTTTCTAAGTGCCTAAAACATACTTTCTCTAGACCAGACTGCTCTCTAGATCCACAAATCTCAGAAATAAAATTAATCGTCTCAAAATTTCTGAAGATACTCCTTTACCAAACATCATCCTTCCAGGACGAAATGAAAGCATGTTCTCTCCCAAATGAACTTCTATTACAGATTTTCCTAAATTCATAATTGCTCTACTTTCTAAATATTAATTTTAATTCCATGAAACATTTTTACCAGTGGGTATTTCATGAAACTAAAGGCAGGCAGTGCAGGTCAGGATGCATTGGAAAAGACCTGGGCCAAGGCAAGATGAGGTTTAATCAGCTCCTGAGTGGTCAGCTGAAAGGAGAGGAAGGTGAATGTGAGGCACAGTGTTGCCCGATCTGTTCTTGTGGGGATCTGCTATATGTGTATAACACATCTTAATCCTTTTTCATCCCCTTCGTCTCTGTCCATCTCTTGGTCCACACTTTCCTTATGCAAAAGCTCTGTTTCCTATTATCTATTTTTATTTTGCTCTTTATTTATATTTTGGGTTTCTCATTTTTAAAAAACTATGTAATACTTATGCTTATGTGTCTGATTTATTTTACTTAACATTATGGTCTCAAGGTTTATCCATTTTCCTACAAATGACTCAAGTTTATCCCTCTTTATGGCAGAGTAGTACTTGTTTGTGCATAATACCATACTTTTTTATCCATATTCAGCTGTTGATGGACATATAGGCTGCTTCCAAGATTTAGCTATTATGAATTGTGCTGCTATAAACATGGGTGTACATGAAACACTGTCAAATGATTTCTTTAACTCTTTTGGGGAGATACCTGGAAGGGGAATAGCTAGGTCAAATGAAATTTCTGCTTTAGTCAGAATCATCCACAGATTTCTCAAAATTTGAGGAATCTCCACACTGATTTCCAAAATGGCTGTACCAGTTGACACTCCCACCAACAATGTAGGAAGTTTCCTTTTTCCCTGCAGCCTCATTAGTATTTGTTATTATTTGCTTCCTTGATGATAGCCATTCTTTCTGGAGTAAGATAGAATCTGGGTGTTGTTGTAATTTCCATTTCTCTAATGGCCAAAGATGTTGAACATTTTTTTCATGTATTTATTGGCCATTTGTACTTCTAAGAACTGTCTATTCATTTTGGTTGCCCATTTTTATTGGGTCTTTTATTTTGGGAGTCTAATTTGTTTTTCAGTTTATACATCCTAGATATTAGTCATTTATCCAAGAAATAGTGGGCAAATATGTGTTCCCATTCTGTAGGTTGTCTCTTCACTGTGTTGTTTCCTGTGGTTTACAGAAGCATTTTAATTTGATGTGATCCCATTTGTTGAATCTTGACATTTTTTGTGCAACTGGGGTTGTGTTCAGAAAGCCCCTATGTCTCTGTCTTCAAAAGTTTTACTTATTTTATCTTCCAGCAGTTTCTGTTTTAACATTGAGATCTTTGTCCAGAGGCTGAGGCAGGAATATTGCTCAAGTTCAAGGCCAGCCTGAACTGCACAGAGATACCATGTCTCAAAAAGACAAAAAAAAACTTTAGATCTTTGCTCGATTTTATTTTAATTTAGTACAGGGTGAGAGATTAGGGTGTAAATTCAGTCTTCCATATGTGGAGAACCAGTTTCTCCAGAAGCATGTGTTAAAGAGGCTATCTTTCCTCAAGTGCATGATTTTTAAGTTTTTCCTAAGGTATTTATTTTTAGTTTTTACACAACCAGTATAGAGGGTCTTCAAGCATGTGTGTTTGGGCCCTTTGTCGAAGATCAGATAGCTTAATGTACTTGGAGATATTTCTGCATCCTCGGTTCTGTTCCAATGATGCACATCTGTCTGTGCCACTACCATGCTGTTTTTGTCACTAGAGCTTTTTAACAGAACTTGAAGTCTGAGATTCTGATGGGTTCTGCTTTGCTCTTCTTGCCAGGATTGCTTTTGCTAATCGAGGTATCTTCTGGTTCGCTATGAATTTTAGGATTGTTTCCTCCAGTTCTGCGAGGAACACTATTGGCATTCTGACTGGAATTGCATTAATTCTGTATATCACTTTTGGAAGTGTGGCCATTTTGACAATATGGGTTCTACTTATATAGGAACAGGGAATATATTTCTATTTTCTGATATCTTTTTCAGAGTACTGTAGTTTTGTTGTTGTTGTTGTTTTCCTTTTTTGAGACAAGGTCTTGCTGTGCAGCTTAGGCTGGCCTTGAACTATGTACCCCCAGGATGGCCATGAATGCACAGCGGCCTCCTGAGTGCTAGGATTACAGACATGTGCTACTATGCCCAGTTCAGAGTACTACAGTTTTAACTGTAAAGGTCTTTCACTTCCTTAGGTTGGTTCCTAAGTATGTAATTTTTCTTGATGCTATTGTGAATGGTACTGTTTTCCTAATTTCTTTCTCAGTGATACAAGTTGTTTTGAAAACATGTGTGCTCAAATAGCAACAACAGTAGCAACTGATGACATTTGCTATACTCTTTAAATGGGTCTCATTCTCTAAGACCCATCTGTTTTTTGCAGGGGCCAAATAAGCAAATGGAGAGATAATAGAGTATCACTTAATACCTATCTCATGTGTGACAAAATGAACCACTATTTGCCAAATATTCTGGTTCCCTCCCTGTGGAAGAATCATATACTGTACTTTCCAAATCCCATTCAGTTTTGTCCATGTGACTTACTTCAGCAAATGAGATGGAAGTGACATGGGTCACTTCTGGACAGCTTTGAGCCCATTTGTGCTTCACTTTGGTGTATTTTTCCTGTACCATTATGGAAATGTTTCCAAAGAGGATGCAGCCAGGAACCGAGTGAAAACAAATTGGAAAACCACTTCAGTGAAACTGTGGTGGACATGTAGCATAAGCAAGGAATTTGTTTTGCTATGGAGGGGGTGTGAGACAGTCTCACTATATAGTTCAGGCTGGCCTTGTATGTAGCCCAAGCTGGTCTCAAACTCACAGCAATCCTCCAGCCTCAGCCTCCCAAGTGCTGGAATTACAGATGTGCACCACCACACCTGTCTTTGGTTTTGCTAATGTACACCACTGAGATTTTTGGCACTGTTATCAAAAAAACCTGGCCTAACAATTATGTACTTTCCCTATGGGTTCAGTTAGTGTTCACTAATCCCCAAATGGTCCCACGTATTTCCCTCCCGCAGAGCTTGTGGAAAAATTTTCTAGTATGTATTGCAGCAGTGTCAGAGGCTCCAGGTCTGTAAACTTGGTCAGGTCTCAGAACTGGGTGTGATAATGGCAAGCGAATTCATCAAGAACAGCATTTACAAGAGACCGAAAGAGCAGGAACAAACAAAGCTTTATTGAGCCAGCTGACGGACAGCTTCTAACCAGGAGCCAGAGAAGATGTCCGCACCAATCTGGGTCTTACCTTCGGTTTAAGTACATTTTAGGCTTTTATAGTAACCATTACCTCATTTTTTGGGACTCTTACAAGAATGTCACACAATTATCACAAAGTTTACTTTTCTCAGGTCAGACAGCCAAATTCCAAGTGACCATTGCAGTTTACCTTTTAGCCCACTTCCCAATTTGTCCTGTTTGTTCTGTTCTCATTTTATGACTCTGCTCTGCTTTGAGTTGATAACTAACCAAGGTGAAGGGGTGAAAAATGGGAGTCAGCTACAGCTTAGGTGAAATTTAAGTGGCTTCTCTTAATATGGAGTTAAAAACAGAAAATAGAGGCTCTCTTGCCCTATCAGGTGAGTGGCCAGAAGTCTATTATGGTGACCCAAACTAGACCTCTGCTCATCCCATAACTTCCAGTTATGTAGATCAGCATACACCTTGGTAGGCCGACCATCTATGTCATTCCTAGGGACACCACCAAAGACCCTTGCAAGTCAAAGCATTCCGTTTGCCACTGTGTCCCTGCTGTCTGCCATAACTGTGCCCAGGATCCTTCTGTTAAACACTGTTACTTGATATCTGAAATCAGGATGCTCACTCAAATGGCAGCATTTCTCACGGAGTATGTTTTAAACAGGGATACTTACAGGCATACCAGTAGTTTCCAACTTTTTCTTCTTGGTCAACCTTGGTTCTATTACCTACATTGACCCTTTTTTTTTTTTTTTTTTTTTGATACTAGAAATCGAACTCAGGACCTTGCACTTGCCAGGCAGGCACACTGAACTTTTTCAAAACACATTAATACACCACCTGTGTCTTGTATCCCCATTTCTGAAAAATGTGTCCACTTATAATCTACCAAAAACATCACCACTTCTTCCCAGTTGCCAGTTTAAAAATATGTATCTTAAAGCCAAATGCACCTAGTAGGTGTCATCATCCAACTGAATCCCTGTTCACAGGCATCTGAGGCACACCAGCATCTGAGGCATCCAAATGCACCTAGTAAGTGTCATCATCCAACTGAATCACTGTTCACAGGCATCTGAGGCACACCAGCTGTTCTCACTGACCTTCGTACATAAGAATGAGTGGTGAAATGGTGAATAGGAGCCATTTTTTATTTTATGGATCCTTAGATGAACCATTTTGATGGATTAACTAATCGTCAACTTGGTACACCCAGCTGAACTGATCAGCATGATTCTGGGTGCGGAGGGCCCACCTGAGGATTGCTGCCAACAGCATAAAAGTAGAAATGCGGGGAAAGATGGTGCACTGTTGATTCTCCTGGAGAAGCTTGTTGCGCTGGTTTTCTCAATATGAACTTGGCTGTTCTCCCATCGGAGGAGCTCGGGTCCTCACTGTCACTGAGGATGGCTGTAGTTCTTTTCAGAGGAGCTCTGGTCCTTATCTTGAGTGTTGCTTCCTAGCTCCAGAGCAGATCCCTCAGCCTGCTGGTACAGATCCTTCATCCCACTGGCTCAGACTTTCTAGCTTCCACCACTGACCTTTGGGTCTTCCCAGTGCAGACCCTTGATACAGACTTGCACGAGACATTGTCATGGGCTCTAGGCCTCCAAATGGACTCATGGAGGACACTGCTATTGGCTCTAGGTCTTCAGCTGGACTCATGCAGGACATTGCTATGGGATGGAAGCCCTCAGTTGGATCCTGTGGGTCTCTAGTGTGTGGACAGATCTCTTGTACTCTTCTCCATTTGACTTTTTGGGTAAATATTATAAAATAATCATATAAATTATGTGTCCTATATTAAATCTATTCCCTTGCAAACCCTAACTACAACAACCATATAAGGGCACATCATCTACCATCTTAGACAGGAGAATAAAGACAAAGTCTCATCTCTGTCAGGGCAGGGAAACTATTCTGTATGGTACACTGGTGGATACATGCCATTATACATATGTACAAACCCACAGAATGCAGAGTGAATCACAATATAAACTAGAGATGTAAAATTCTAACGTATTACTGTGATATGGAGTATTAAGAAAGGAGGAGGGACAAGTACATGTGAACTTCTGTACCTGCCAATTTTGCTGTGAACTTAAAACAGTTCTAAAAAAAAAGCCTATTAGAAACAAAAAGTTTTCCCCTTTTTCCCAGTCCCAGTTTTTTGCTATTGTTGTTGTTTTTAGTAAACCATCATGTTTGATTCAACGTTAAGAAGTCAGGCGCACTGAGTTCACATTTAGTTCACTGGCTGTTCTCCACAAACCAGGTGTTCCATCCTGGTCCACAGATGACCGAGGCCCCCAGCTCCTGCCTCTAACACACCCGTGGCTGGGAGGATCGAGAGAACCGGAGAGTTCACAATGCTGACACCATCACACTGGAGTTGTGAATGTCAGGCTGCCTTGCTAATCCAGCCTCAGAATCAAGGTCACCAGCCTCTACTGGGCTACAGGGCATTTCAGATAATGCGGTTGGGAGGAGTCACACAGGCACCAGGCAGTGGATAACGTGATCCCAAATACTCCATCCACAGAGAAACAGCCCAGGCCACTGTCACAAACAGTTTCTACCCCAGCCTTCTGAACCCTCTGTAGTTTGGCTTTGTTAAAATGTTTCCATTTATCTGAAATAACCACAAATCATATTACTGTTATTTACATATTACATATATATTATAGTTTATTAAGTAAAGGAAACAAGGCTTATGTCACATACTCCAATAATGTTTATTTATTTATTTATTTATTTATTTTTTTTTTTTTGGTTTTTCTCCGGTACCAGGAACCGAACTCACGACCTTGCGCTTGCCAGGCAGGCGCTTTTGCCGCTGAGCTAAATCCCCAGCCCCATCCAATAATGTTTAAACAAAGAGTTCAAAACATGAGGACTTAAGAAAAATGAATTCTCTTTATATAATGTATACTATTTCTAACACATGAATAAATATAGTGAGCAGGAGTCACTTTTTATATTATGGATCAGCAATATTTAGCATCAATGATCACACAAGACCACAAGCAAACAAAAGCAAAACTAATTTCTTCAAATCAGTTATAAATACTAGAAAACCTTTTTCATATTTGAGCAATATTCAAAGTGGAAGAGGACTGGTAGCCATACACCTAAAAATAACATGAACAATTCTTCTAGTTCCTGAAGTTACTTTTCTGAAAACAAGAAGAAGTTTTCAGAATTCCTCAAGTTGTGTCTTGGTTAGAAGCATCAACAATTGCACTAACTCCTTCAGGAAACAGTAAAAGCAGGTTAAGATCCTGTTCTATAAGGCACTTATAATAAATCTACAACATATTTTGTCTTAAAACATTATATGTTTGTCTTAAAAGTCTTACACTGAGCTTTGAGTATGTCATTCTGATACAGACCTGTACATACTCTGAAACTAATAAATACTGTTGGATATTCTCTTTTATATGGTCTTTAAAATGAACTTGCTTTTTTGTTAGAAAATATATGTATACTTTAAAATGTTTTCTACATTAATAAAAAATGGTTCAAAAAAAAAAAAAAAAACAAAAGAGGCTGATTGGGGGATTTAGCTCAGTGGCACAAGCGCCTGCCTGGCAAGCGCAAGGTCATGAGTTCGGTTCATTCATAAAAAAAAAAAAAAACCAATTCTTTCAACTCAAAGAATTCAGTGAAAGCCTCTACAGAAAGCCTATCACATCCACGGAATGTTCTAGTAAGAAAAATATCTCTTCACACAAGGTTCAGTACCAGGAGGGAGGCCTGCAGGAACTCAGGGGTCCTCTACTACCATCTAGTGCCAGCCAGAGAGATAAGGGCTTTCATCTTATGCAATTAATACTACCAAAGATCTTTTCTTTTCTTTCCTTTTTTTTTTTTTTTTTAACTCAGGACCTTTTGCATGCAAGGCCAAAGTTCTACAACTAAGCCACATACTGAGCTCGATCTTTCTTCTTCTTTTTTGTTTTGTTTTTCCTCCGGTATCAGGGATCGAACTCACAACCTTGTGCTTGCCAGGCAGGTGCTGTGCCGCTGGGCTAAATCCCCAGCCCCTCGATCTTTCTTCTTTGTGGTATCTTACCTCTTACTTTTGGAAATAAAATACTGCTTTATAATACAAAATCTTTTATCAAAGGAAATATTAACAAAGAAGACAGGGGCTGGGGATTTAGCCCAGCGGCACAGCGCCTGCCTGGCAAGCGCAAGGTAGTGAGTTCGATTCCCGGTACTGGGGGAAAAAAAAAAAGAAGACAAAGTGCCAGGTGTGGTGGTACACACCTATAATCCCAGTACTTGGGAGGCTGAGGCAAGAGGACTTCCACGAGTTCAACAGCAGTCTGAATTATAGAGACCCAGTCTCAAAAGGAAAAAGAAGAAGAAGGAGAAGAAGAGGAGGAGAAGGAGGAAGAGGAAGAAGGGGACAGGGCATGGGGAAGGGAAAAAAGAGAAGGGGAAGGGGAAGGAGGAGGAGAAGGAGAAGGAGATGACGACAAAGTGAAAGTGGCTGTGAAGAAGACTACCTGATCCACAAAGAAAACCTGCATTCCTTCCTCTCAAGGAGGAGGAAGCCCCACAGCCTAGGTAAGCTAGAAATCAATCTGGCAGACACATACTGTGTAAGTGGATTGCCCAAAAGCCAAAGTTAGAATTCAACTCCAGAGAGATACAAGTAAATATATTCACTTTCCTGGGATGACATCTAGAAATAGAAAATTCTTGGGGCTTCTGCTTTGAAAAGAATAAAATGAAGACAAGGAAGGAAAGAAAATGATTTACCACATCATGAGAAGACAATAAACAAGGAAAACATATACCTTTTAAACTAGATAAACAGATGCAGTAAAGAAATGAGCCGGGGGTATAGCTCAGCTGGGAGGGTCCTTACCTAGCATGAAGGGCTTGGGTTCCATTCCTAGCACTGACCAAAAAAAAGCTTTTAAAATTTCAAGCAAATCCAGGTGTGGTGGTGCAAGGCTGTAATCCTAGCACTTGGGAGGCTAAGGCAGGAGGACTGGCTTGAGTTTGAGGCCAGCCTGGGCTACATAGTGAATTCAAGCCCAACCTGAACTACATAGTGAGACCCTGTCTCAAAAAACAAAACAAAAAACAAAAAAATCAAGCAAGTATTTTCTACCAAATTAACTAGGTGTCCAAGACAGGAAACATTAACGGATATAACATGAACTAAAATAAAAGCTAGAAATCTGGAAAACTCAACTCTTCACTTCACTAGTAAGTCCCACTAATAGGCATGTACCACCAAGCCCAGCTCTGCCTATTTTTTCTTCATTTAATCCCTACATCAATAGATGTTACTATCCCCATTTTACAGATCAGAAATGAAAAACTTTGCTAAAACTTGTAATTACTAACACTACCTAAAACAGAAGCCACGTTGCTTGAAAACATGTCCCATCCACACAGTGTAACCTTTGAATACATTGTACCACCATTAACTTAGGTATTAATACACTGTAACAATTCCTCACAAAGGTCAAATCTTCAGAGGCTTAAAATCACTTATTGTAAGTGAAAGATCCTGACAAGAAAGGAAATTATAAAGCAGTGAAAGGACCTATTCCCTGCACTGTCTACACCGGAGCTTAAGGAAAGTCCAAGTTTCCATGAACAGAATGTCTTCAGCTGACAGGAAGCAAAAGCTCCCAGCTGTTCAGTAACAGTACCACCCTCCTGGAGGTTCCACTGCACGGTTTCCATGAACTTTTTCAGGCCGTCTGATATTTGCAGCTGGGAGCGGGAGGCATCATGAGTGACTCTTCCAGAAAGAAATGGTATACATTTCTGATTTTCTTTAATAAGAAACATGCATTTCATGTATTATCTTGGATGTCGAAGGGCACTTCAATGGCAGCGACTAGTGTTGGGATGTTACAGTTTAGGCCATTAAACGCTGATGAAAGGCATCTGATGCCAACACACAGCAATCTGAACTAACCCCAATCTTCACCTGTTGCTCCCATCCCAGAATCTGTGATGAACTGAGCAGTGAGAAGCAGAGAAATGCCAAAAGCTCTACTGTTGCAGAAGTTAGCATTTTCAGAGGGGTGTCCCTTGGACTTGTCACAAGTCCAATCTCTTCAGCTGTTCATATGTCACAAAAAACTGTAGTTATGTGTTAAGGCTGCCAAAGAAAATGCTGTCTTATCAACTCCAATGAAAACAAACCTAAAGTTAGCACACCTAGTAACAACTGCGTACAGGCAGACCCATGCCATAGACGTGAGTCAACAGGAAGTGTGTCATTCTTAACTTCCTCGGGCTCTCCCCGGAAGCCGGCTCAGGAAGCTGGAGCAGGAAGATCACAGCTCCGTCTGCACATGCCCCAGCCTCAGCCTCATACTCATTAGCTTCTGTGACTCTGCTGTGCTGCAAAGACTCTACAACAGTCAGCTTCTGTGGGAGAAGAGTTGGGAAACCCTGGAAGCTCCTCAGGCTTCCCATCGTGCAGCCTTCCTTGGGAGGAGGAGCAGATAAAGAGAAAGAAGAGGATGGCAAAAAATCAACATTACTACTTCCTAATTCCGCCTTTTCCTGTCTATCAAACCTTTCCTTCTCCTACTTTGGCATAAATGAAAAAATACAGAGAGGCTAAACAATTCCAGAGCTTATTCCTGTTTATCACCAGTCTCCACAATAAGCATTCTTGAACACTGTCGCCAACCATATTTTTTTGCAAGGCAGCTACAGATGTAAAATCAGTCCTTTCTCTCTCTCTCTCTCTCTCTCTCTCTCTCTCTCTCTCTGAAATCATAAATATCCTCAACTTCTAGAGTAGAATCGAATAAAAAATATTATTGATATATTACCTTTTAATACATTATCATTAAGATCCACAGTATCTAGAACAGACTTTATATTTCCTAAAGCAGAAAGTAAACAGTTATTTCTTAGGATCAGAGGAACTCAAAACACTAAAAATATAAGACAGTAATTAATTTTCTGATAGCTTATACAAATATTCTTTAGCTACATCTTTTTTTTAGATCTACTGCAACACAAAAGGATACGATGATATTCCAAGGACCAAGCCTCAACCAATTTGGCCAAAATCCTTTATAGAGAGCAAAAAAACCTTCATTCTTCCATGTCTATTGAGAAGAAAAAAAGAGTTAAGGTCCAACTTTCTACTGTGTCAAATGCATTAATAGTTGTCAGCTGTTCTATTTCTCTTAAAACTAAATCCTAGGGCTGAGAGTATAGCAGGTACTGGGAGAGTTGCATGGATTACACAGTGAGCTCAAGGCCAGCCTGAACTACACAGTGAGACCCTGACTCCAAAAACCAGAAAGGAAGGGGAGGCGAGAGGAGGGGAGTAGAGGGGAGGGGGAGGAAGGGTAAGGGAAAGTGGGGCAGGGGAGGGGAGGCGAGGGGAGGGGAAGCAAGCAAGCAACAGTGGTAAAGATATCATTCAGAGCACCCTATTTCCTAAGTTGTTGAGAAATAAGAACAATAATATCTTCGCTTCGTCAAATCAATACTTGAAGTGTGATGTGCTGCCTCATGCCGCAGAATGGGAACCATGGACGAGGCCCCTGGTCTGTGACTGCTGAAAATCTAGCTGGGGGACAGTTCAAAAGTTTCATGTACTCATGAATAGTAGGCCCAGTTATTTAAATGCTGTGAATTATAGTGAGATTGATGTGTCCCTTTCAGAGAGATATCTGAATGAGGGAGAGTCACACCAGTTTGACTCCACAGGAAAAAGGTATATATTTTGGAAAGAGACAGTTCTATGATCACAGAAAACATTACTATTTTATTATCCTTCAGAGCAAAGTGAGGTACACAGAAAATGAACTTTCATTTCTAAATATGCACCTAGATTTTATATACATAAAAGTTAGCCCTTGCCAGGCATGGATGGTGATGCATGCCTACAATCCCAGTACTTGGGAGGCTGAGGCAGGAGGACTGCTGTGAGTTCAAAGCCAGCCAAGGATACATAGTGACTTCAAGGCCATCTTGGAATACATAACAAGACCCTATCTCAAAAATCAAACAAAGAAACAAAAAAGTTAACCCCAATCTGTACAATTAATATGTACTAATTATAATACAAAAGAAATAAGTAGAGTAGAAAAGGAGTAGTTTTAAAAAAGTAAACCCAGTGTGGCAAAAATGGTGTGATATATAAACCATCATGCATCTCAGTTTTTGAAATTTTGTTTTTGGAGTCAGGGCCTCACTATATAATCCAGACTGACCTCAAACTGACAACCCTCCTGCCTCAGCTTCTTGAGTCATCATAGTTTTAGTTATTTCTTAAGTCAAAAAAAAGAAAAAAAATATGTATCGGTATCTCACAACCCTTCACAGACAGACATTCATTCTCACCTGTAACAAGCAATCCAGGGTACCTGTGTAGCCAGAGCATTTGCCATCTCGAAGGACTCTCTGATTCATCATACGGGTTCTCACAACATCGACAGGGTTTGAGGCCAGGGCCCCCACTAGACCACAGGTAAAGCTTGAGCTGTGTAAAAGATAGCATTAAAAAAAAAAAACAAAATGTTAATCACCACTCAGCCACAACTGCTACTATCAAAGGCAGGAAACAACCTCCTCCCAAAACTATGTTTAAGTAAAATGGAACAACACGAAATGCATCATGACTAAGGTTGATATCTAGAGAGCCAGACAAGCTTCTTAAATAAATTATCAGCACTGATTTATACTGGCTTGTAAATTCCAGCTACAGCTAAGAATACTTTAAGGTTCCGGAAAGTGAAAGGAAGGAACATCCTACAAGGATAATCTATTCCATCTATTTATGTATAAGAAGGTATCACAGGGCCGGGGATGTAGCTTAGTGGTGTAAGTGCTTGCCTGGCAAGCCTGAGGTCATGAGTTCAATTCCCAGTACCAAAAAAAAAAAAAAGAAGGTATGGCAGTAATATATATTGTTCCTACAGGTCAAAGAAAAGATGTCCTCACTGTAATTGTCCACTAGGGGTCTCAGGTTCTACTGGACTTTCAATCTTACAAGATGATCATAAACATAGGTATTGTTAAACTGACATAAGTATTGTTAATTATGTTAATTATGCCAGCTGGTTCACTGGCTTTTTCTCCTTAAATAACTCTGTTAAATTTAACTGGCCCAAGGTGTTTCTTTTAACAGTATCAATTAACTCAGAGAAGATTTCACAGCCTCAGAGCCTCAGTACCACGTACACTTTGGACCAGAGAGATCATTCTTTGTGGAGACTCTCCTATATACCCTAAAATGACTAGCAGGAACTGGACATAGGTATTGTTAATTATGTCTACCCTAAAATTGTGTCTATACATAACTAACTATAACCTGTACCAACAATCTAATGTGAGAGTATACACCTGTAATAAGCAGCCAAGTGTCACCAAAACATTCAGCTGATCAGAGGCAGAAAGCTGTCAAAACACATCCAAATGAAGCAAATGCAGAAAGGCATCAATCAGGCTACTTCTATACAGATGCTCTCAATTTACGATAGGCTGATGTCGCAATAAATTGAAAATGCATTTAATACTTAATCATAATATCAAAGCTTAGTCTAGCCTACATTAAACATGCACAGATCACTTAAATGAATCTACAGTTGGGAAAAATGATCTAACATAAAGCCTATGTTACAGTAAAAGATCAAATACCTCATATAAGGTATTGAATGCTGTACTGAAAGCAAAAAACAGAATGGTTGCTGACGGGTTCACTTTCACATCACTGTGAAGTTGAATCCTAAGCTGAAGCATCACATATGTCACTTCCATGCACCTGGCTATAAATATTGCCTACACACACTGCAGAGCAGAGCTCTCATGACTTCTGGTCACAAGTGCCACCTGGTTCACTGGCCTTTTCTCCTTAAATAACTCTGTTAAATTTAACTGGCCCAAAGTGTTTCTTTTAACTATCAATTAACTCAGAGAAGATTTCACAGCCTCAGAGCCTCAGCACCATCCACACTTTGGACCAGAGAGATCATTCTTTGTGGAGACTCTCCTATATACCCTAAAATGGTTAGTGGCAACTGGAGCCTCTACCCACTACATGACACAGTGTTCCTCTTGTAGTGACAATCAAAATAGTCTCCACCCTTGCGAAGTGCCCCATTCAGGGCAAAGTCAGCCCCAATGGATTATAATCTATGATCTGTTCAGACAATGTGATAATCTGAAACTACTAAAATAAAGTAAGTCTATAAGTACTGACATGGACAGACATTTAAAATATATTGTAAGGGGCTGGGGATTTAGCTCAGTGGCACAGCGCCTGCCTGGTAAGCGCAAGGTCGTGAGTTCGGTTCCCGATACTCGAAAAAAAAAACCCTAAAATATACTGTAGTTTTTTTGGTTTGTTTATTTTGTTTTGTTTTGAGACAGGGTCTCACTATGTAGTGCAGGAAGGCCCTGAACTCACTATGTAGCTCAGGCTGGCCTTGAACTCATGGTAATCCTCCTGCCTCAGCCTCCCAAGTGCTGGGATTACACAGGGGTATGCCACCATGCCTGACATATATTGTTGAATTTTAAAAAGCAAGTAAGAGGAGCTGGAAGCACAGCTCAATTGAGTGCTTGCCTCACATACTCAAAGCCCTAGGCTGAATCCTCAGCATTGGAAAAGAAAAAGCACACAAAAAAGCACAAAAGCAAGTATAAAGGATAATCTTATTTATGTAATGAAGTACATGTGGTATACTTTTGTAGACATACTCTATACACATAGACACATACCAAACTCTTAACAATAGCTACCCATGTGAAAGGGTAAGAGTTTTGTCCTGCTTCACTTGTTACAATTTTTCAAGTATTAAAATACAATACCTTACAATAAACTTTATCTAAAATGTCTATTATAAGTTTATACCAAATTTCCATCCTAAATGCATGCATACCTAAAATACTAATTTTTTTAAATCCATAAACGTACAGGAAGTGGGTATATACAGTGTCCCCCATCAGGCCTGAGAGAATCAGATGCTTCTTGGTGATGTCATAGACCGGCAGTTCCACACCAACAACAATGGCAGCTCTCTGAGCTGTAAGGGACACACCCTGCAGAAAAAGAGAACCAGCAAAATTATTTAGATAGTCTTCTGTAGAATGCAAGGATTCTCCACAAACTACAACCAGGTTTTATATGTTCTTCCTGACAGGCAGAAATGGGGAGGGCAGGAATGCCAAAGCTGTCCTCACTTCGGCAGCACACATACTCAAAGAACGCCAAAGCTCTGAGGTCTAATTCTGACTCTGGCAATAACTGGTGCGACCTTGGGCCAGATCCTGGCCGGGCCAAGTTGCCTCTTGGAGTCTTCTGTGTCATCTGAGGGCTCATGCTAGGTGATACTTAGGGTCTATTCCATGAACTGACAAGTCACTGAAATTCTAGGGAGCAGTTCTCTGCACAGCGCTTGTCTAATAACATAGATTCTATTTAAGAGCCATGAAACCATATTTATCAATCAGCCAGTGGAAGCAGAATCTGGAAACTGCCTCCATAAGGATTTAAACAACAAAAACAAACAAAAATCAAACAAATTTCTAAAAAATTAAGGAGTATTACTCAACTATTAAAAAAGATAAACTTGAGGCTTTTGTAGGTAAATGGATGCAACTAGAGACCATACTCATAAGTGAAATAAATCAGACCCACATGTGTAAACATCATATATGTCTCCTTGGTGTAGGAACCTGAAAGACTAGGTAAAACTCAAAACGTACAATAGATGATAGGAAAGGGAAAGAAATTGCTCCAAGGAAGTAACAACTGGGATGAGGGAAAGAAGATAAAAGAAAGAAGGAAGGCAAAACATAAATATATATATGAATAGCTGTGGTGACTGTATGGCTGTTGTCTGATGGTGTACTGAAATGAACAGTTAATGTTCACATTTTTTTATGTTCTGATCAACTGTGCATGCTTGTGTCTGGTGGTCTGAGCAACTGATCTGAAAGTAACAATATGGAATGGATTTCAATGGTGAACTCCTACCATCTTGTCTAGTGAAACTATTATCTCTAAGGTTTTATTGAAGAATTATTTTCTTATTCTCTTTAATGGTTTGAGCAATCTTTCATTCTTACATCTGATACTCTGAGCAATGTAGTTGAGGATAGCCATATGTAATGTAACAACCACTGTTGATTTGTATTAATTTGTCTTGAGACCCTGTATCACTTTGAATGTTTTTGCTTTGATTTGTTTATGTTCGTGATACTGGTATGCTGCTACTGTTCTATTTTTTGTTGGTTTGTTTCTCATGTACTACTCTCTTTAAAATAAAAAAATAAAATAAAATAAAAATTGTTCAACCTTCACAAAACTTCTCATACATGAATTATTCAAAAGGTACTTTAAGATCATGATTAGCCCTTATACTCCCATTTTACAGATAGAGAAAGAGAAAAAACTGTCTCACTCCTTTACTCAATTACATCACTTGGATTAAAATAAAGTGATGAAAACAGGTCAAACAAGTTTTAAAAGAAAAAAGGCAAGAAGTCAGTCAGTCAGCAGGAGCTGCTCTTCAACCTTACCTTCCAGAGTCCTCTTGTCCCTTCCTGCTGGTAAATGTTAATGAAGTTGCCTATCATTCCTCCTTGAATGGTGCTATTTTGTGCTTGCATTCGTATCTAGAGATTATTTTAAAGATCAGCATGAGAAGGAAAGAAATTAGCACATTCCCCACTGCCACCACCATGGAATAGCTCTGACAACCACTGCACCTACTGTTTAGTAACCCTTAGAAAAAAAACTGCAATATAAACAATACAGGGACACTACTTTAAAAACGTCCTCAGCAGACTGAAAAGGACTGGTTCTTAGGAACTCTGGAATCTGAAAAGCACTTGGTAGAATCCAGAGACTCCTGCAGACAGTATTTCACTAGGTCTCTAAAAGTTAATTTTTAAAACTTAAGTGAGAACCTTATTTTTTCTTTACTGTAATTATTAGCATGTACTACGTAACTGAACAATACAACGGATTTCTCTGTGACACTTCCACATGCAAATAATATACTCTGATCCTATCCACCTTCCCTACCTTCTCTTGCCTACTCCCCTCATCCCTCTGGTCCCCAGGACAGACAACACTATATTTCTCTGCAATCTGCTAAGTAGAAAAGAGAGAAAGTGATGCTAATTCTAAAGATCTAATATAATTGAGTTATCCAGAGTAGCTGGCTGCACTAAACACAGGCAACCACAGGTATTAAACTGTTCCAAGCCCTACTGCCAACCTGCTGAACCAAAAAGTATGCAAGCAAGCTGACCACATGATGGCCACATGATGCCATTACACTCTGTTACACTTAAACTTATCAGTGAACTTCACAAAGGCCATGGATCCACATGACCAAGACTCACCATAAATAAAATGTTTGATGTAGCTCTTTGCCGTAAGAATGAAAAGGGATTTCTCACACACACACACACACACACACACACACACACACACACACGTACCTTATATTTAAGGAGCAAATATCTTGCCACTACTTCTAAAAGAAACTGCTACTGCCACACTAACAAGGAAAAAAAAACCCAAAATACAGGAACTGCTTTCCCACAAGCCCTGAGCTGTGTCTAAAAAATTAGTAAGAGAATGGATATATTTTTCTTACTCCAACACAAGGTAAACTTATAGCAAAAATGCCTTATGCTTCTCTTCGGACATGCTGTACCTTCCCTGTACTACGGTGTAACTACAGTGCATCCAACATGTCAAACACAGTTCCGATGTTTGTTAGAATCTAGTAGGACTAGACTGAAGGCCCCCTGAGGGCAGGGTCCTCTTCTCCCTCATGTGGGATGCTGAGCACATAGTACAGGAGAAGCACAGAAAATGCACTAAATAAGGAAGAGGTGGAGGGAATACCTTGTGAGGCTTTAGAAGTAATTCTTGCAGAATTTTTATTTAACTTAGTCATTCTCTTGCCTTATTCCAAAACAGATTTAAGGAGGCTGTACCCCTAGTATTCTCAGTAAAGTTACATAATGTGTTACATCTAATTACAGTAAGTAAATATTTTCATTTGTATTTCTTGAAATAAAATTAAATATGTTCACAAATAATTACTAATAAACCATCTAAAGTTGTATAAAGCTTGTAGCCCATCTACTTTTAATGACCAATAGACAAGGGAGATTTTCTATGAAAAAAATAAATGAAATGTACCTAAGCCTAAATTTTTTTCTGCTCAGTCATCAAAATCCTTGATATCCAAAATGACATCTACTTTTGAGCTCATCTGTATCAGTAGGAAGTCCATTTAGTGAACATTTAAAAGCTATGACTCTATACAACACAAGTTATGAACAGATTCACATATATACAGCATATGTTAGATTCACAGATTTTCATTATCTGCATAGTGCTCCCAGTAAGAAAACACAAAATGTGCCTCTAAGCTTACTTTCAAAACATCAGTTGGATTAGCAATGGCTGAGGATATGACTCCAGAGAGAATCCCACATATGACATTGATCAGTAGGGTTTCATCTGTAAATAGACATATTATTTTACTTTTAACAGATAAGAGTTTTTCCTGTAACTCAAAATATTAAATTAGTGTTACTCATTTACATGCTATTTAATTTATTCTTTTTTTTTCCCAGACAGGATATCACTATGCAGATCAGGCTGGCCTCAAACTCACTATGCAGCCCAGGCTGACCTCAAACTCACTATGCAGCCCAGGCTGACCTCAAACTTAGGCAATCCTCCTGTCTCAGCCTTCTGAGTGCTGCGATTATAGATGCATATCACCAACCTGGCTTTAATTTATTCTTTATAAATCAAGCATTTTTTCCCACCAGGTGTGGTGGTGCACACCTCTAATCCTAGCATTTGGGAGGCTGATGCAAGAGGATTTCCATGAGTTCAGAATAGCCTAGGCTACATAGGGAGACCCCTGTCTCAAAAACAAAAAAACAAGCAAGTTTTAAAAGAAGTTCTGTTGGCTGAAAGGATTTTGCTTAGCAAAATTTCTTGGTAGGTAAGAAATAAATATGAATCATCCTGCAATGTGAGTAATAATCTACTAATTAAGTTTTGTGTGCAAATTCAGACCACTGTAATTAAGATGAGGTGTATCTGTTAGGAGAATTAAAAAGATCTAAACACCTACAAGGTAAGATGGTGATTTTTTTGCAACAGAAAGTTTTTTAAACATATGCATTTAGTTTGAAACATAGCGAAGTATGTTTGATGCATCTTTCAAAGCTCTTGTTCACCACTCACGTAACAGTGACTCGTGCTCGCCCCGTTGTTGGGGAGACAGACAATCCTATGGATTAAAACAAGGTCACAGAACTGGACACAGTCATAGAACTTAAGAGCTTTTAACACAAAGAAATGTACTCAATACTTTCCTAAAAAATGGGTAATAATTCACATGACTTTAAGTTGCATTAAATGGCAACAACACACCATCTACTCCAGGCATTTTGAGGACAATTAATTAACACCGTTGTAGAGATGGCACCTTCTAAGTGATACTCCTCTCAATTCAGCTGATCCCTAAGCAAAACTCATTTAGACTTTAAACTCAGACTTCTCCTTAGCTATAGTAAAGCTGAAGAAAATTTGCTCCAAAACCACTTGAATTAAAAGACCAACAAGGTAAGGAATCTGTATCCCTAGTGTTCTCAGTCAGGTTGTCTAATGTATTGTATCTAATTATAATAAATAAATATTTTCACTTGTATTTCCTAAAGTAAAAATGTTAAGTAAGAAAATGTGTTCAAAAATAATTACTAATGAAAAAAAAGAAGCAATTACTAATGAGCACCCTAGATTTAAGCAAAAGTCACAGCCCATCTATTTTTAATGAACCCACATAACAAGGGACATTTTCTATGGAAAAATAAATGAAATGCATCTAAGTCCGAATTTTTTTTTCTGATCAATCACCAAAATCCCCAAGTGGAAAACAGACTCATCACTCACCTTCAGGGCGCTCAACAAACAATCGCTTCAAGCTCTGGTAAGTGCCGATCTTGATGGTGCCATAGGAAGCCTGGCGCAGCATTGCAGGGGCAATCCTGTTGAATCAAAGTGCAAGGGGACAAAACAACCTAAAAGGAACTCGAAGATCACAGAGACCCACATGCAAGACCAATGAAACTGCACTACAATCATTTCTTAAAATACAAAATCTAACAAAAATACACATGGGTTCGGTGAAATTTATGCCAATTAGTTAACTAAGTGGGAGGTCAGTCTCATATTTATGCTCAATGAAAATGTAAATGAACAGAACCCATTTGCCCATTCACATTTTCTTTAATTTTTATCTTAACAGTACGTTTGTAGTATGTAATGATTACACTCACCACAGGAAGATAGAACATGTACATGACATCTTAATATTTTTAATGCTCACTTACACTAAAATGCAAGGGCTTTCCTGTCTCAGCGGCTAGGAAAACGAGCCCAAGCAGGCATACCATAAGCACCTGCAATTCTCCTGCTGTGGAATTCATCTACTCACTCCTTGGGGCCTACCTACTTCAAGTTATTTCCTCTCCCTAACAGTTTGCCACTACAATACTGAAACAAGTTCAATATGGAATCGGGAAAAACAAGCCAACTTTCTCCACCAATAACCACCCTGTGCGTGTAGCCCCCAGCTCTTTTTGCACTTCTCACCTCCCTCTGCCGTTACAATCTGGGTTCTCTCTACCCTCTCCCTCAACTCCCCCCTTGCCAAGATGGCTAAGTGGCAATTTTGTTGCTAAATTAAATGATGCCTTTCAGGTAGTGGTTGTACAACCTCTGTAGTGTTTGCTCCTGGCCCACCCATGGCCCTCTGGCAGCTCTCTCCTCCCTGACAGGCAGTAGGACCACCCTCTCCCACTTCTTTTCCCTAAGCACCCTAGCTATGTCCTCTGGGGAGCTCCAGAATTCTACCCTACTTCTCTCCTCACTCTACACAGCCCCTGCCTGAGCTCATCATACACAATCACAGCTTCAACTAGCATCTAACACTGATGACTCCTAAATCCCTGTTTCCAACAGTGACCCAAAGATACAGTACCAATTTGCTATGTTCTCAATTTAGATGACCTACATATACCCCCAGGTCAAATGTCCCATATTGAAGTAATTATCTTTCTCCTCCCAGGGAATGAATTATCACTTTCCACTTCCTAAACCAGGGAATGGAACCTCCAACTCTACACTGGACAAAACCAGAAGCCCATTAGCCCTGCTTCCTCCTTCCTCACTATGCCTTACATGGGAAGCCTAATACTACTGACCTACATCCTAAACGGTTTTCTAGTCTGCCTTCTTCCTCCTCACACCGTAAAATAATAGCCCAGCTCAGATTCTCATCGTTTCTGCTTCCAACATGACAGCTCTGCATCTAGAGCTGCCTATCAACCCTTCCTCTCCATGGCAACCAGGCAACTTTTAAATAGAAACCTGACCTTGTCAGTCCTCCTACTTAAAGCTCCCAATGAATGTATTTATTACACATCAAAAACTTATAAAGTAAGGAAAAAACCTTTAGTGGCTTCAATCTGTAACAGGCACAGCAAACTCAAATGCTTACAGATACAAGCAGATGTGAGGGAAGCAGGCTCACCCCAACTGCATACAAATGTTGTATGTGTCAAGAGGTTTTACAAGCCAGAGAAAGCATACTTAACTCTATCACTATCATAAGTGAACGAATGTAGTTACAACGTTGATTTTTCTTGAGAACATGGAATCCTGGAATCTTATGTGCAATTCCTCATTTTTAAAATACTGGCTTGGTCAACCATGATGGCATGAATATGTAATTTTGCTAGTCAGGAGGATGAAGCAAGAGGATTTCTTGAGTTCAGAAGCTCAAGGCCAACCTAGATAACAGGGATCCTGTCTCAATCAATCAATCAATCAATCAAATATTGGCTCAACTGAAACACAAAAACCTTGGGAATCCCAGCCCACTTGGGAGGCTAAGGCAGGAACATCACCACAAGTTTGAGACCAGCCTGGACTACACAGTGAGTTCAAGGCCAGCCTGGACTACATAGTGAGACCCTGTCTCAAAAAAAAAGTAGAATATTGTTTCTATAAGGATTTCAAGACCGGAAAAAAAATTTTAAAGAAAACAAAAAACTTGCTGGGCGTGGTGGTGCATGCCTGTAATTCCCAGCACTTGGGAGGCTAAAGCAGGGGATCCTTTTGAGTTCGAGGCCAGCCTGAACTGCATAATGAAACCCTATCTCAAAACAAAACAACAGGGGCTGGGGATTTAGCTCAGCGGCAAAGCACCTGCCTGGCAAGCGCACGGTCGTGAGTTCGGTTCCCGGTACCGGAGAAAAAACAAAAAAAAACAACAACAACGAAGACAAAAACCTTTGGGATTGATGGCTCCTTGAAGGGGCTGTGAGCCCCAAGTTTGGGACCTGAGTTTGGCATAGCATGAGGTTGTCCATGTCCTTATTGCCACTTATTACCCCTTATTACCACTCCAGCTCAGTCTCTTGCTACTCACCACCTCCTACACTATACCTGTGCTGAATTACCTGCAGTTCCCAGAATGCACCACGCTCTCTTGCACACGTTCCTGGCCCTGTATGAATACCACTCCCCTCTAATTGCAGCCAGCTAGCTGTTCTTGATTCCTCAAGGTCTGTTCCAGTGCCTCTTGTCCAAGCTTCCCTAAGGATAATCACCTCTCTCTTCCCTGCAGTCTGGGACTGATGCCCTCTCTCTACCATTTCCACACCTGCATCCCAACTGTCAACTCCTTAAGGACAGTGTGATGCTGCTGATCCTTTGTTCTCTGAGATCCTTGCTCACCTTTCTCTGTCCCCTAAGAAGGTGATGTTACATACTACATAACTTAGGCGCCCTGGCCAGCTGACTTCCAGGGAATTCAGCCAGTAGGAAAAGCGAGGGAGAAGAAGAAAAAGACAAAGGACTTCTTCCTCCTCTCTGGGTATCACTACAGCATCCCTTGACAACTGCTGTCCCTGGCTTATAGGCACCAGCTCCCCTGGGGTCTGCTAAAACCATCCTACCCTTGCCCCCAGGCCTCTATGGTTGGTAACAATTTCTCATCTTGCTAGTTTCTAATCTACCCTCCATCTTCCCCTTGACCTTTAATTTCCCTTGACTCTTCATTTAAACCACCTAGTGAAGTCTGTTTCATCTTCCTCCCACCCAGAGCCTACAAAACAGTCACACCCTGTCCATTAAGTGCTGACTCCAATGCCACTCTTATCCATAGTACTCTTTCATTACGGCAAAAAGAGTGAAAACTGAAAAACAGAACGCTTCAAACCAACAGTTTTTGTGTTACTGTCTGTACTTATATAAATAAAAGCAGTATCATTAAAACAATATGCTACATAAAATACATATTTAGAAAAGAAGTGGAGTCAAAATGTACTGTGCTAATTACCATTTTCAGATATAAATCAAATGTTTACTTTTTCTCTATGAAGGCTTAAAGTTATTCCCAGTATCAAAAAAAAAAGGCTTATGATTAAGTCTATTCTTCTGAAAGAATCAATAGTGAAATAATACAAATACAAAAAGGTTACTCACCCTGAATACAATGCCTTCAGCCCTTCTTCTCTGCCTATCCTTACTAAAGCGTGCAACATTCCTCGATACTTGATTTCTCTAAAGTTTGCATCATTCCTCTGGCCTTGTATCTGGAGCCGTGTCTTGGTTAAATCGATTGGAAAGGTGCCTTAAAATTTTTTAAAAAGGAGTATTTCATTTAGCACAAAGAAATTCAATAAATACATACAATGGTGTATCACTAAGGAAACATTCAAACTATGATGTACAATTAGAAATGTCAGGAAATGGAAGAACTGTGCAATCTTTTTCCTATTAAACAATGAAGGGGCAAAAAGATTAACAAAAGCAAAAAATGCATAAATGCATTCTTTCTTTACACTTTTATGTACACATCACTTTATTCTATAAAGGATTTAAGGAGGCTGCACTGCTAGAGAAAACAGATATAAAGATTTACCCAAATAGGAAATCCATTTAAAAACCGGTTACTATTCTGTGTGTATATGAAGACTAAAATGTAATGCAACTGAAGAGAGGTAAGTTCATTTTCTAAAGGAATTTCTCACTTAGGAAGGAGTGTTTTGTAGTCTAAAATTAAATTTGATAATGCAGGTAGAGATGTTTAATATAGTGCCTAACCCAAACATATAAATATGTAAATATGTATGTGCATATATATCCAAATATATAAAACCCATCCTCACACAGTAACTTTGATTCTTGAATCAAGGTTAATTCTTCAGTGAGAGAATCATTCACTGACATTTATGAATTCACTCGCTGAAAGCCCACCAGCACAGGGAACCCAAGCCAGTAGGTGAATGGTTAACAAGCCTTGGAAGGCAACTGAGCAAATGAAATACTCATCCCAGCACTGGTGCTCAGAGGTTGCTCAATCAATGTATATTGAATGAATGATGTGAGAATAAACAGGGTTAGGATACCAAAAGAAGCCAGGGCTATAGTTCAGTGACACAAGCACCTGCCTGGCAAGTGCAAGGTCCTGAATTCAATTCCCAGTACTAAAAAAAAAAAAGAAGATACCAAAAGAATATGAACAACATACAAAATTAGAAAGTGATTTACTAAGTACAGGCAATCTAATCTGGCTCAGGGAAGAGGTTTGAGCTTTTCAAACCTCTTTACAACCAAATGGTTAATAGCGGAAAAGTGGAGAAAAGGACAAGGAAAACAGGGACAGATGCAATCCAAACAAGATTCATAACTTTTATTTAGTCAACAGCCTCAACTTTCTCCCCCTTGTACTTTGAACTTCTAGTAAGCAGCCAAAATGACTATTCTGTCTTTAGAATATACCAAAAGATAGCATTTCTGAATTGAGATTGTTTTATAACAATCTACACTGGAACAACATTCATATCAAATACCAAATGGAAGCCTTAACAAGTTTCAAACCCCACCAGACTTCAGTACCCTGGGCTGCTTACCACATTCAGCTGTGATGGAGGCCAGCCCTCCATAGACAAAGGGCTTCCAGTTGAGAGCTGACATTCTGTCACTGTTCCTTAGAATCATACAAGCATCGTCTCCAGCAGTTTTCTCCTGGACACAACAAGATTATTCTAAGTTACGATCTGTCACATAGCATGCTTCTTCTCTAACTCCCTCGTCTTTAGAGAGTGCCATTGGGCTGTCACTGAAGCCTCCGGCAACAATCCTCAACATTAAGTGTCCTTAATTTGCACTCAGGCCTCAAGAAATCTGGTGCTGGGCTGGCACTGCTCTGTGCGTATGCATTCAGTGCAGTGTGGGGGTGGGTGTTTTCTAGATAGTGTTTTATCTTAGCTCTTTCTTCTTCCTCATGTGCATATTTGCTATTTATCTGCCACTGTCTTAGTGAGTCCCTTAGGAGAGGCATGAGGTACACTGAGCAAAAAAATGTCACAGACCCGCATCACCAGTAAGGTGACGACTGCTTCAAATACCACAACCTACTCTAGAGCACACTCTGAGAACGTCAGCTCCCTTCCCTTAGCCATGTTATGGCACCAACTGGAAGGCAGCTTAGCATGCAGGAAATACGCTGACCTGAGTTACATATCTCCTTGAGGAAGCTCCTCTTAACCATAAATGTAAGTATTTTCAACAAAAATCACCAACAAAACAGCTAACACAACCAATTATGGGCAGCACACATCTTTTTATTCACGAAGAGAAATAAAATACCTAGCTTTAGAGATTAAATATTAAACATATTAAATATTGTAGAGATTAAATATTAAATATATTAAAGACACTTGATAAATGTTGCCTTCTACTTTTCCCCTCCACGGTCTCCCCCACTGTGATACATACTCACGTGCTGCAGCCCAGCCTTCTCATTCATGACACATATGTTCCACAGTTGTATGTGATCTGATTAGCAAATGTGGCCTTGTGCCCATTAACATGAAACACAAATTAATACAGTTTTGTATATATAAAGTCAATAATACTGTCAGTTTAAAATAAAATTTCTAGGCCAGGGCACCTGCCTGGCAAGTGCAAGGTCTTGAGTTCAATTCCTGGGACCAAAAAATAAAATAAAATTTAAAAAGCTATTTATTATGGTGATTTCTGGCAAAACCTATGCACAGTGTTTTTATTTTGCATGTGTTTAGGAATTTCCCAAGTCTACATTTCCCAGAAGCCTATCACACGTCACTAATGCTCAGAATGCCAGTTCTCACCAAGCCCAAGGAGCTTGCTTAAGCTAAGAAGAAATACAAGGAGCCCAGAGAGGATGCTATGTAATTCTAACAACAGTTACTCATTATTTGCAGATCTTAACCAAATTCAGAGTAGTTACAGATGAGTGGGGTAGAAGGTTCCCTCAGCACAGAACCTGAAGATCATCATATGTTCCATAAATTTCAGTAACAAGAAGCAACCCTTGTCACCTAAATTCCTTTCATTATCCATGAAAAAATTCATAACTCCTCTTACTATACTGAAAACATTTACTTAACTCTTAGCCTTACTAAATTCATAACTAATATAATGATTAACACAGTAAGTTATGGATTGCAGGAACATATTAACAGTAAATTTAGAATAAGGCATTGTGGCACACAACTGTAATCCCAGCACTGGGGAGGCTGAGGCAGGAGGGTTGCTGTGAGTTTAAGGCCAACCTAGGCTACACAGCAAGACCCTGCCTCAATTAAAAAAAAAAAAATTTAGAGAGCGGTTTCTGAGTGTAGTGGTTATCACATTCACCTCACATATTAATGGTAAGTCTTTTTTTTGGTACCATAAATGGAACCCAGGGCCTAGCACTTGTTAGGCAGGCACTGTGTCACTGAGCTAAATCCCTGGCCCCAAAAGTAAGTCTTATAATTCATTTACTATCCACTAGCAACTTCCTCAACCCGTTTTCAGGTTTTGCTAATTGCCAGGTTAAATAAAAAAAAAAATGGTCACAGTGTCCCATAGCAGTGCTATGTGGATACCAATAAGTGTCTTGTATAAGTGAATTGGTGGCTTTCCTCAAAAAACTAGGGACAGTAAGTCAAATACTACCATTCTCATACACAGACTATAAAACCCAGATATATGGAGGTATCCTGCCTCCAGGCTCACCATGGATGGGGACAGAGCTGTGCTGCAACCTGGTGTTCTGACTCCAAGTGCAACATTCTTTCTGCTACAACCTAAGGCGGGACATTTTCGTAAGACACTGAAAACATTTTAAAAACAAAGAACCCACAAGAAGATTGTAATGATTAAAGATCTTCTATTACTTTTAATAAGATATATGAAGCAGAACTAAAAAGGTACTGCTCACAGGATGCATCTTATAAACAATAAAAATGTGCTTCAGAGAAAAATCATAGACTGTTCAGAAGGTAGTCACTTCTACCCTAAAGAGCAACAATTTATTTTCCCAACAAATAGTACATAAAAATAGTGTTCCTGCAATCTTTTATTCCAAGTTTCTTATTAAAGTGAAATTTATACAACATAAAACCACTTTAAAGTGTCACTGAGTGACACTTAGTATATCCACTGTGCTGCGTAACCACCAATCTAGTCCCAAAACATTCTCATCATCCCAAGAAGTCATTAAGCAATCGCTGCCACTTCCCCTACCCTCACCTCCTTCCTATAAGATTCTTATTTTGGATGGTGTGACACTACACATTCTCAAGTTCCTGTGTGGAACATGGGATTCCTCAGGCGTTCTTAACCTGGCTGCACAGCTTCTTAACAGTAGACACCAGGAACCAGTGACAGAATGAGGATTGCAGGGATGCAGCCCAAGCATCTGTGCCATTACCGAAAATCACCAAATTACAAAAATGATAACCAAGTTACACCATGGGACACTATGACCATTTAAATTACTCTTTAAAGTAGTTTACTTTTCACTGATGACATTATAGTTGATCTTTCTATTCACCTTACTGAGAAGTGACTTTTTTTAAACAATGAGTATATATGTACCATGCAGACATATATACACCCATATCCATACAAGATAGCCTCCAAAATGTCACCGGAAGTACCAATTTGGGTTTTTTTTTTTTTTTTAAGAAAGGGTCTCATTATGTAGCCCAGACTGACCTCAAATGCACAACAATCCTCCTGCCTCAGTCTCCCAAGGGCTAGGATTACAGGTGTGCACCACCACACCCAGCATAATCAATCTTTAATTTATAAAATTAAGTCTACTGCCATATAATCTCATCCCATCTCATTAATTTTCTAGTTTTATGTTATTACTTTTAGGTCTTTACCTCTGTCAGTTTTGGTATTAAGTCCTTAGTTATTTAGATTAAAACCCAAAGGTTCTGGATTAATCATGCAAATTCTCAACTGTAACAACTGCAATTGCCTCCTCATCCTTTTGAATCACATGGGATGGATCACATACTCATTAGCTCTCAGATGTACTGCCAAACTAAAACTTATCTCCCACAAGTGACTGTTCACTCCTGCAACAGCATCCCTGCTCACACTCTAAAAAATACTTTCTATTCAACTACAGTGCTTAAAAGTTGTCTAGTAAGAAAGTTAAAGACAACTTTTTGGTTCTTCTGTTTTCCTTTCCAAACACTAACGGTGGATCCCTGAGCAGTTACGATCACTGAGCCTTCCCAAGTTAATGTTTGCAGAGTAAAAGAATGATCTGGCTTACACAAGAATCAGGAAGCCTCAGGAGGTAGACGAACATCCAATCAAGAAGGGGTTCTAGTTAAGATTCTGTGAGCCTGTGTCCACTAAACTGTACAGGTCCCAGCAAGCTATAACAGGGCTTCAGTTATCTTGGGCTGTAATCTCGGTTCAGTAAACTAACCTATGTATTTTTGCTTTCATCTGTGTTTGGAGGGCTCATACTAACTTCCAAACAGCTTTCTGAAAAAATCTCAACCTGCTAAAATACCAAGATTTACAGGCCAGGACAGTCAGATTGATGGGTCCTTAGCAACCAACTTCCTGGGCAGCATCTTAGCAAGAGATCCAGGGAACAGATTACAGCTCTACAGAAACCAATGGTTGGGAAGCAACTGGATCACTTCCCACTATACCCTACTCCTTGGCCATGCTCTAGGTCAGACTAAATCAGTGGCCACTTCACTTTGCTGCATTATGAATACGACACTAACAACAGCTGTCATTACGGAATACCTGACAATGAGCTTTGCTATGTATCTTCCAGAGGATTTAGTACTTACAACCCTATGAAATAAGTATCAACTGAAGCAACACAACCTCAGAGAAGTGACTTTCCTTAGTCACAGCTGTAGGACATTCAAATTAATGTTTCTCTGAAGGACTGCATGATCTTTACTTTGTAGCCAAACACTATCTTCAAAGCTGATTTAAAAAAAACAAAACAACATACTAGGATCCAAAGTTACAGCTCAGTTGTACAGTGCTTGCCAAACATGTACAAGGCCCCTAGAATCAATCTTCAGTATTGTGCCCTCCCACCCACACACACAGACCAGAGAGGTCCTACATATCCAGAATAAATGTAAAATTTTTCTGCGAGAGATACAAAATTATTTTTAATAAAGAAAAGTGTTTTCTGAAGGTAAATGTCTATATAAATTAAAACTCCCAAAAATTCTCCCTTTATTTAAGATATACGTTACCAGTCCTTTCTACTATATTCCCTTTTATATATTTACCTAATATTTATTTTCACCTGACCTTATTTGTTGAGCTGTAAAGACAGCTAACTAAATACAGTACTTGCTGCTAGTACCTATGAAAGCTTTCCAAGTTTCTCTTATACAATTAATTCTTGATAAGTTCTTTCAATTTTACTTGGCGCTTCCTTTTCAGTCTGCAGTCCTAAACTGCAACCAATGCCTAAACTTCTGCGCTCTCATAAATCTTTGTTCCCTGCTGGACTGCCCTTTCATGAACTCTATTTTCTATAAGAGTGCAGGAGGAAAAATAAGCTCAGCACAAACTTATGAAACATAGGCTTTAAAAAGAATCTTTGAAATCCTATCTCATTTCACATGAATTAACAGAGCCCTTGGTCACGAAGGTTGATGGCAGCAAAACCAAGCCCGAAATTTATGCCGTTCAACTTTCTCCTTACACAAGTAGGACAAACGTAGACTCTGCAGGGCACTTCCAACACTGTTTTGCTATTCTTGCGCACAAGCAGTATTTTTGATCACTGCGACTGCTTTATATGAAATTATACTTAGTGAGGAAACCCAGAGCTGAAGTTAACTTTAAAAGCCAATTCATTCGATCGGTCCCTGCAAACATGAACCAACCCGCTCGTTCCAGGAGCAAGTCCAAGGCCGGCGCGCGCTTTCCCGGCGTGCGGGCTGGCGGAGGCTGGGGCTGAAAGAGCCCACTCGCGGGGGGGTGCGCACCGGTGCGGGCGCTGAGATCCCGGGGCTGCTCCACGCGCGCACCCCCACGACACTGGAACCGGAGTCGCCACCGTGACAGCGCCTCCCACAGGGCCCGCCAGACCCCGGAGCGGCAGCCGGGCCCCAAACGGAACCGGTGAGCAGCGTCACCCCGCGCACACTCGGCCCGGTCGGCTTTCCGGAGAGCGCGGCCCCAACCACACCTCCCACCAAGGGTTCGGGTGCTTCCGGAAAAGCGGGGCAGTGCGAGAGGCGCGGGTCAGACACTCACCTGCGACGGAGGCCCTCCGCCTTTCCCCGCCCTGGACCAGCCGGGATGAACAGCAACGCCGCTCGGCGAAGAAAAGGCTGCCCGGCAGCGGGGGCGGCCCAGGCCCCGTGTCGCAGTCCCGCCCCGCTGCTCGCGGTTCCGCCCACAACGTCGGCTCCCATTGGCCGCCATTGCAAGTCCCGCCCAGGCCACGCCCACGGCTGTCTGTGCGCCGGCTTCGGCGGGGCGGTGTGCCGGCTTCGGCGGGGCGGAGCTCCGGCCCGGACGCTAAAGGGGGTCTGGGCTCGCGCCTGTGGGCAGGATGCGTAGCCCTGCGGTGACGGGGTACAGGGTCGGTTCTCTGGTCCGCGGCGAAAGAAGCGTGAGGAAGCCCCGATCAATGGAAAAGAACCTTCTCAGAGGGTGGCTTCCGTGCCCACGTGAATCTTGACTGCCGGAAAGAAGTAAACGTGCACTTCTTTTCATACCCTAGCTTTTTAGTTGGAAAATTATATAGCAGTAGTACGGAAGTATGAGAAATACTATTTTATGGAAATGTTGCTTTGGGCAGTTTTCTTGGTTCCGTGCGCTTTGTTAAGAATGCGTATTTCCCTGGGCACAGTGACATGCACCTGTCCCAGCACTTGCAGGCTGAGGTGGGGGAATTACTTGAGGCCAGTAGTTAGAGACAACATAATGAGGCACCGCCTGAAAAAAGAAAGAAAAAAAAAAAAAAAACTGGAAACGCGAACACGTATTTTATGGGCACCAACAGGTACACATAACCCCTCACAACGGGGGTTAAATTTCAACGCGGTTTTCAGGGGTCAGCAAACTATAGTTCACAGGCCAGTCCATTGGTTATTTTTATACAGTCCTAGAACTAAGGATAATTTTTATTTTTTAATAGTTACATTTTAAGTGATTATGTAGCTCTCTATAACATTCTGGATTTTGCCTCCTGGCCTGCCTCATAGTTATAACCTGATCCCTGACAGAAAGTATTTTATTGGTTTTTACAATCCCTCGGCCAGCCTTTAGCAAAATTCACTTTAAAGTGTTCCAGTTTGGTCTCCACTGTGCATCCTATTTGGGGCACATTTGGTGAAGGAGGAGTCGCTTAGGAACAGCCGGTGGTAGCAGAGTGACCATTGGGAGACACCCAGAAAGACCTCCTGGCAGCCTGGCAGGTCTGGCTGGCAACACGATTCTCTTACTACCATCAATACAGCTTATACGTTTAACCAAAACCCCTTACACTTTCTATTTAAAAGCACAAGTACATCAATTGCATATTTCAAATCAAAATCAGGATAAAGTGAGATTCTCTAAAGAGGATAATTCCCATTTTTGCTGTTACACTTCAGATAAGTAACAAACCCGTGCAGATTGTCTTACATTTAATGGTTAGAGCTAAAAATATTAGTACTATGAGTTTTATTTAGCTCATCATTTCTATATTTAATCGCAAACCTTTCTAAAGTTATATAATCCTATAACTACCAACAGATTTTCCAGCTCAAACTAGCTGCGTAAATGGCAAATGGAAAATATCAGGACATATATTATCTTTAAAAGAATCAAGACTAGGGTCTAGGACATGGGAGCCACACTACTGTGTGTCCCTTTTATATAAAAGAACATGCCTGATACATCAGGGACCACCAGTTAAACGTTTCAGTTTGAGATTAGGTTTTCTACTTTCATTCCTGGGCACACCACCCTACTCTCTACCAAATTTGTTTGTATCCTGTTGTAAATTTTATAACTGAATTTAAGTGGGGTGAGGTGGAGTAGGGAACATAAAAAGAGGGAAACAGATCACATTTAAAGGATTAAAAATAATAATAACCTCAGGCCAGGCATAGTGGAACATACCTGTAATCCCAGCACTCAGGCAGAAGCAGGAAGATCACTACAAGTTCAAGGCCAGCCTGTCCTAAATAGTGACATAATGAGCTCAATACCAGCCTGAACTACATAGCAAGACTCTGTCTCAAAAATAAATAAATACAAACTTCAAACTTCTCAGCAGCAGTGCTGGAAGCTACAAAACAATGTCTTAAATTTTAGGATGATTTCTTGCCAAACTGTAATACCCACCTAACCAAACTATTAATAAGAGAATTTAAAAGTTAGAAATGTGCAAGTCCTTAAAGAATTGACCTCTCATGCATGTGTCCTCAGAGAAAGCTAATGGAAAATATGCTTCCCCAAAAGCAAAGAATAAACTGAAAGCTGGAAGACATGGGACCCACGAAATAGGAGACCAGCCCAGGACAGTAGGGAAAGGCGTCCTAAAGATAACAGGGACAAGAAATCTCAGGACAACAGCAACCAGTCCAGACAGAGCAGGATTACAGAGGGATCCCAGAATACACTGCCAAGGGGAAAAAAGAAAAACACGTGCTTCGCCTGATGTTTGTGAAGAAATTGGTGGGAGGCTTCATACTACCAATGGGGAGTTTGGGGATGAATTAGAAATAGGAACCCAGAAAATTCAGCCGCCCAAAATATTTTAAATGAAGACAATTTTAAATTACAGAGGGAAAACAAACAAAGTATTTATGACATGTATTCCAGTGGTAGCACACATCTGTAATCCCAGCACTCTGAGGAGCCAAGCAGAAGGATGGGAAGTTTGAGCATAGCCTGGGAACTCAAACTTGGTAAGACTCTGTCTCTAAAAAAAAAAAAAAAAAAAAAAAAAAAAGAAAAAGCCCGGGGGGAGGCCTTGGGTTTCATTCCCCCGTACTCCAAAAAAAAAAAAAAAAAAAAAAACAACAACACAGTAGTGCCTGCCTCTAATCCCAGCACTCAGGAAGCTGAGGCAGGAGGATCGTCATGAGTTCGAGGCCAGCCTGGGCTACATAGTGAGTTCAGGACATAGCCAGTCAGGACTACATAGTGAGACCCTGTCCACCACCCCTCAAGAAAATAAGAAGACATAATCATGGTGTACTCTGACACAGCTCAACTATGAGTAATATTTAGAAGTCAGTGTAATGAAAATGCTACAATTGGTTTAAACAAAAATTAAAAGTACAAATGCTCTTCAACTTACAATGGCGTTACAGTCCCAAAACTCATTGCTGAAAATACTGTGTTGCAAGTCAAAAATTCATTTAATATATCTAACCTACTAAACATCCCAGCCTAGTCCAGCCTATCTTTAATGTGCTCAAAACACTTGCACTAGCCTATAATTGGGCAAAATCATCAACACACAAAGCTTGTTTCATAATAAAAGTTGGATATCTCATATAATCTATTGAATACTTATGTTTAAAAAATGCTGGCAATAGCACAGGATAGAGCAGATTTTCTCCCTTCACAATCATGTGGCTGACTGGGAGCTAAGGTTCACTGCTGCTGCCCAGCATCAAGAGGAAGTATGACATGGCTAGCTTGGGAAAAGATGAGATTTCAAAGTATAGTTTCTACCAGCCATGGTGCCACAGGCCTGTAATCCCAACACGTAGGAGGCTGAAGCAGGAGGATCTCCATGAATTCAAGGCCAGCCTGGGCACACAATGAGTTCAAGGTCAGCTGAACCACATAGTGAGGCTCTTTTGAAAAAAAGGGCGGGGGGAGAAGGAAAGAAGGAAAGAAAGAAAGAAAGAAGGAAAGAAAGAAAGAAAGAAAGAAAGAAAGAAAGAAAGAAAGAAAGAGAAAGAAAGAAAGAAAAAAGAAATAAGCAATTAAGAAAGAAAGAAAAGAGAAAAGAAAGAGGAAAAGAAAGAAAGAACAGTTCCTGTTGAATTGCATCACTTGTCAAAAGAGCACAAGTTAAGGTATGGTAAGTTGGGGCCATCTGCAATTATAAGGACAGTGGGAAATTTCTGTGTGCGTGTGTATCTGTATATATGAGCACATGTGATGGTGACAGTGAGTAGGCTTAAAGAAAAAATCTTCAGTGGGAGGAGGTCTACAGATACTAAGAGAAAAATCAAGAAATTGCAACCTAGATTGGGTGGTGCATACCTATAATCCCAGAATTCTGGGAGGCTGAGGCAGGAGAATTGCCAAGAGTTTGAAACCAGTCTGGGCTACATAGTGAGTTCAAGACCAGCCTGAACTACACAGCCAGACCTTGTCTCAAATATCAAAACAAAAAAAAAAAAAAGTTATTTTTACTCATTGTTGTGGTTGATACATTGTGTCAACTTGGGGAGTCTAGAGGTTTGGCTAAGTGACTCAGCAGGAAGTCAGGTTGCTTACTTTGTGTACATCCTGAGCCTGTGGAAGAGGAGGGCATGGAGATTATGTGAGAGCTACACACCCCTTAGGTGGGAGTAGCCTGTTTACGATGTAAGGCAAGAAAGAAGCTGCTTGCCGCCATTCCTCCCTTTTGCTCTGACTGTTTGCTGTTTGACTGCCATTCCTCCCTTTGCTCTTGTTGCTTTGCTATCTTCTGCCTCGGAGCCAGCCAAGTATGGACTGAAACCTCCACAAACTGTAAGCCGAATAAACCTTTCCTTCCTTAATTTTGGGCATTGGGTATTTTGTCTCAGCAACAAGAGAAAAGTAACCAAGAAGCTCATGAAAGAAATATTTTCCTCATGTACTTTCTTAGCCCTCATCACTGGCCAAGTCTTCCCGGTCTCCTTCCCTGCCTTCTCCTCTTCACAGATATCTAATTATTAGAATGTTTCCGGGATCCCTCTTGAGCCCCTTCTCTCAAACTGTACCCTCTCTCCTAATGGTCTCACCGAGTCCTGTGGTTTTCACATTTACACCCAGCCCTGATCTTTTAGCTGCTTCCCTCCCAATCCATCTGCACATTTGACCCATCCCCTTAACTGAAAAAAATCTCAAACTTGACACACCTAAGAGATTCCCCTTGTTGGTTTTGTTCTTGAAATCTGTTCCTCCCCACTCTTTCTCTTAAAAGATGTCATCATTACCCACCCATGCTCAAACCCCAAAAGCAGATGTCCTTCTTAATTTTTTCCTTTGCTGTCATCTTCATTATGTATGTGGTATATCCATACTGCTGTCTCCTCCTTCAGTTGCATCTCAAATCTTGTCATTCATTCCATCAGTACTGCCACCAACCTACGCCAAGCCACAAGAATTAGCTAGGCTTTTGCAATAACCATCTCCCTGCTTGTGCTCTTGCCATCCATACATGGTGC